GCGGGGGCCCCCCCCCGCCGCCTCCGGGCGAAACTCCTCGTGCGACGACTGCGACTGGGAGGTCTCCGTGGACGAGAGTCGGCTGTGTTTTGGCTCCACGTAAGGGCTCGCGCAGCTCATCTACAACGTCAGCAATGGAGCAATCTTCAGATCAATGTAGACCGGGACCTACTGCTAGTAATAATCACATACTTTTCATTGCCACTGACGGCACCCAGTTTAGTAACGAAGGCACAAACTTACCTGATTTACCTGCCCTGATCCTAACTTTAAGGCATGCACACATCTACACATGTCACACCTATGGGCCAACACTGATACTTAGTCATAATAAGTATCCTTATTATGTCCCTCGGTCTATAAAATAAGCCAACACAATTATTTGCAGAAAACTGCAGAATATGGCACTATGGAAGACACAGAAGAGACGTGCCTGGTCCATTAAAAATCTTAAAAATGCCATCCAAATGCCTGTTGTCATCCTATCTTGCTAAAAATTTCTTTAGCATCGTCTTTGCAGTGCTTCAGTGCAGTTCAAAGATCTATGACTTTGGAAGATAAAGTATTGCATTCAAATTAAACATCATGAACACTCTCTTTCCCCAGACTTTCCCAATTTTTCAATCAAATTCTTTGCATTTTAAAAACTGTATTCAAGTAAGGTATATTAGTTAATACTGTCTGAGTGTACGGACATGAAAATTAAAATTGCCAGTACAGAGTAAGAAGTCCATACTCTGGTTTTATACCAACAGCTGCTTCAAGAAAGAAAGAAAAAACAAATCCCCTTTTGTTCTAATTTATACAGAAACCTACTTTTTCACAACAACAGAACAACTGGTATCACTGTTTGGGATATAAGAGAGAACATTTTTATGTTGGCATTTCTGTGGAAATTCAAGTGTAATTTGTTACTGTAAAGCTTCACAGCACAACTGTTGTGCCTTAGAGAAGAGTCTGTGCTGTTACTGAGGTAACAATATTTTGTCAGAGAAGACGATAAGGGGGCGGTGAGGGATTGCATGGATGAGTAGGGGTCCATCATGAACGAAGAACAGGAAGAAAGAATTCTGTAACTTAATCCATTTTGTACAGCAAATGGGATTATAAATCCGTGTTCTCTACACACCAGTGGAAATAGCAATGATGGCTGCTGAAGTTAGCGATGCATGGTACTGAACAAATACCTTAAGTCAAGTACTGACTCAAAAAAAATACTGGAGAGTGTCCTAATGCACGTGCTTTTAAGCAGAAGAGTTGGTAAAAGTGACACTTTCTGTAGTCATTCCTGTAGATAGTTGCAGGTGACCTACCGAAGGAGGCCGTGGGTATGTGTCGTACGGAGGTGGTGGGCTGTCTTGTTTGGGTGTCGACGGAGTGTCGGCTTCCTCCTTATCACTCTCACTCCAGTAATCTGTAAGTTACATACAGATCAGATGAAAAACTACCAACACGTTTTGATACTCAGAGACTCACTTTCACAAAAGCAACTGGGAGCTCCATCCTTAGTAGTACTGAGAGTTAAACACCAGTCAATGCTGACTCTGTAAATGTTAGCTGCTGTAATTTGGAATCGCTTTAATCTAAAGAAAATTCAAAACATTATGGGGTATACTAAGTCTAATGCCCCATGGCAGAGATATTAAACAACAACCTGCAAAAGAGCCACAAATTTAACTCTTGTTCACCCCTTATAAATACAACATGCATACAGAATACTCCTAATACAAGTATCAGATTTTCAAATTTTTATGCAGCCATCAAAATAATTTTGATTGGGCATATATTGACTGGAAAATACGGAAAGTATTTTTTGAATAGAAAGGATGAAAAATGTAACTTGCAGGAGTCTTGCTGACAGCAAATAACATTAACAAATGTAATTAATACCAACTGTCAAATCAAACAAGTAGTGGTTATTGCACACATGACTAATCAATGTTATTTCTCTACCCGTTTTCTCCATGGTATACTATCAGTTATCCAAGCTTTTCAATTAAATTTCTAATAACAAACAGCTGCACTTAAATAAGACAGAAGAACTTTATATCATATATCTGCTTCATAAAACAGATGCTGCCCTGTTATCCATGCAAGAACACAAAGGTGATATAGTAAGGAAAAATATGACAATGATATTTAAGCACAGAGTACCAAAAGATGGATGAGAAAATAAAAAGGACACAGAGCTTGTGGCTAAATTTAATGGGATATGAGGTTTCATTTTGTCAGGAAATCAAGTCTTGGCCAAACACATTTCATATGTTTGGTAGCTTGGCCAAAGGGGAAAACACATGGAAGAATGTACCACGTGGGAATTTATATTTATTCTGTTGCAAATATTTTTGAAGCAGAACAGCATCTAACTAAACGGACACGGGACCTTAATATTCCTTACAAAAGAAAACTACTTAACTGCCGACTCAGCTCAGGATGGATAACTTTAACGTTTCTACACATTGTAAGACTTATGCAAACATTTCTGTTGTCACTTTGTTTCTGACTGTATTACCTTCTAGTATTTGGGTAAATCACTGTACAACAGGACATTTTAGCTCAGTCTATTCACAGACTAATCACAGGCAATTTTAACGTCGCCTAGTAAGTGTTCAATGACCTGCATGACTTACTACTTTCTCTTTAATAGATGAGGAGAAAAAGATTGACTGTTGCTTCACAAACGATCTAAACCAAAAATCCAGGTTGGCACAACATGTAATTTTGGCTTTAATGATTTTTTGTTACCATGATGATTATTGTATTGTATGATTAATGATCTACCGTACCTAATCTTATTGAAGATTTAAAACAAAAACTTACCTTACAATGACACCATCTTGAAACAGCTGTCCCTAAAATGCTGTATATGTTTAGACTGTAGTAGTGGTGGGGGCAGCCTTATTTATCTATTTATTTTTTCCAAGCAGTATCAACTCTGTTTTAACTGTGGGTCTCTTGATTTGCTTCCTGCAAGCTTATGGATGAGAGATTCTCTTCAAATGGTAAATAAATAGCATAAATAAATTTTTCATGACTATGAAATAAAAAATTCCAGAAAATTTTGTCTCTAGGAATCTGCAAATAATGAATTTTTGGTGAACGAAAGGCTAAATCAGAGAAAACTCTTTTTTAAGTCACTCCTTGATTTAAGAAAACTTGTTTCCAGCAACTCAAAAACCTGAAAATTTTGGTATATAAGCATGTTTGTTCCTATTACAGCAAAGCCTAATGGCGTGACATGTGGTGAGAGGCCTGTCAGAATTGCATCACTCAGTGAGATTTCTGCAGACTTGGAGCTTAACTGTTTATCCTGAAAGTAAAATTTAGCAGCCTCAGTGCAGGTTCCAATTTTGGCTAAAAATACAAAGATGTTCTTGCTGTCAAATCCACATACAATAAAACACTGTATGATTATTATGCTTTTGCGCACCTTGCCTCAGACAGGGAATTCTGTTGGCAACCTACGGCTTGTCGAGAAAAACTCTGCAGTCACAGGGGTCAATTTCCAGATGAAATGTATGAAAATAGCCTCCCACCAATTTTTAAAAATGTTCTGCTTTTGGCAACTGACTCATTAGTCTGTCTAAAATGCGTATAATGCTATTGAACAGTTGCCCTATTTCTCTCTGCAGATTTTGTCCGATGCAGTGACGGACAAGCTCAATGCATCAGGCATATCTTGAGAGCTTTCTGAATGAGTAGTAGACTGCATAAATTACATATAAACTAACACTGACCTGCCATTTGCCGATTAAATATTTTCTATTTATATAAGCAAGTATTTTTCCTCTGATTTTATATGACTGGGAAGTATATAACTTCTAATCCAAGGAAGTCCCTTGCCATATTGCAAACTTTCATTGTATTTAATATGGAAAGTTGACGATATTTTTATAAAACTGTTCTGTACAGAATGTGACATTTTTTTCAGCAGTACACCCACAATTCGGTGATTCGTGCATCTCTGAAGCACTTGAAATATATTTATGCACTTTAGATTCAGAACCATTCAACTCTTAATTGAAACAGGTTTGACAACTACTGTTGATTTGTTTCAGAGGTATTATAAAGCTTTGCTGCAAAGGGCTGAACTGAACAGAAATAAAAGACCTTTTGTAAAATCAAGTATGTAGATGACAATTGCCACAGTCACCGAATACAGAAAATTCCAGCTTCACAGTTTTTATAACTGCAAAAATGCTTGAAGTGATAGAGAGCTTTTACTTTGCTAACTTGATGCCTCTGCTAATTAGGGACACCACTGAGCTGTTTAATAGCCCTTTTGCTGGGAGCCAAGGATAATCACCAGAGGCATAAAAACACTGTATGGCAGCAAGGGGGGAATGTGATACTGATTCCCACACTAAACACAACTAAGCAACACAAAGAGGATATAGTTTTACCTGCCTGTATTTGATAAATCAATTCGCGTGAATGGCGTTAGAGCAGTAATAAAGAGCTCCGTCAGTGCCTGGGATATAATTTCCATAGTAAGTGGGGTCTCAGTGATTATCTTCAATAGGGAGACATTTTAATAATAGGTAACATGAGGCCTGAATGCACATGATCTCATGTCTAGGAGCAGGATCATCTGCTATTTTATTACTCAGTGATTGCTTGGTAGCAAAAATATTTCTCCACATCCATGTGGATTTTGAAAGGTGTGTCATGTCTGCAATTGTGCACTTGGACAGTGTTAGCATGACTGTTCATACACCTTTTCCCTTACTGTCCCATGTTATTGTAATTCTAGTGCCAACCTGCTATCTGTAAAAGTTTGAATTTGGCTTTGAATGCTAACACAGAGGATTTCCTAGAAGACTTGAAGATTCAGAGTTTGTTCACAGCCTCTTCAAGCAGTGACAGATGGTATGCAGGTTCCTCCAAACTGGTTGTTGTAGTGTGCTGCCTGGGGAGTACAGATTCCCAAACTGATTTTGAAGTCTGGTGAGGCACTGAGAACATGACTGGAGGAACAGTGAGCATCGTGCTGCTATCCTGGGCTGTGTGAATGCGGAGGGCCTGGTGTTACAAATGACATGATGTGCCAAGGACCATACCAGACTAGGGTGTGGGCAACACTCCCAGGATAAGCAGCTGCACTTACTGGAAGACATGATTAGAAATGAGGCAACAGCAGGTACAACCTAGTTATGTGCGAGAACGGCAAAACGCCCAAAAACCTTCCCACGCACGCTGTTGCCACCGAATTACGGTAGTATGCTGTAAGCCACTGCTCTTCAACCCCAGGCTGATCCCTCTAGGATGCTCTGTGGTGAGGCAATCAGGGTATGAATCAAGGCAGACGTAATTTTCTGATGCTGTCTTTTAATCTTCTACCACTACAGAATATCCTACTCTCTTGGTGTTTCTACCTGGCTGCTGAAGTCACCCTTGCTTCTCACCGGGGAAAGGGGTTTTTTTGCACAGTATCTCCCAGGAAAACAGCACCGCAGTAACATGTTGCAGAGAGACAGACCATGTTCATCTTCCTCCTCACGGTATCAGACCAGAAGGTCAGGGCTAAGGCTGCTGTCACATAGGTTGGTACAGAACCATGACTTTGGGGGGCAAGGAGGACACCATGTGGCAAATTTTGAAGCCTAGGGATAGCCTTTTGAACACAAGTCTCCCTGAAAAATGGTTGGAAATATAGTCTTTGTAAAGAAAAGACTACATTAAATACATTGCTGCTGCAGCTCCGAGCTGTAAGCTTTTTGGGCCAAAAGACAGAACCTTAGAAGGAAGGCTGCAGAGCCACAGAATCAAAAAGTGAGGTTTTGACTCAGCGGGCAGCAGGCAGACAGGCATCTGGATAAGCTCTGGATCATCATGACCACTGCAATTTTCTGGTGCCTGCTGTCAGGTACATCTGTAAAAAAGAGCATGGATCCAGAAGCCAGCTGCTTGCCAAAACAGCTAGAGGGATAGGAGCACTTCTGTGGACCCCTGTCACTGGCAGTTCTAGGAAACAACCTCACCAACACAGTGAGGACTGACCCTTTCTTTTTCACGTCTGCAAACAGGATTTCTACTGCAGCGAACTAAAGCAAAGTGACTTATTATTTTATATATGCTGGTTTTTTAAACCCATGAAATATTAGACATTAAAAATAAACAGATGTAAAATGCTGTAAGCCTGCAACTCCAAATGAAATGCCAACAGGGCTTTAGCACACACCTCAATATAGCAAAACCAGCAGAAATCACAAAAAATTAAATGGCCTTAAAATTAAAGACTTTAGGGGAAATCCAATTACGTCAACAGGCTTTAGAAGAACGGTTTTGTTCCTGACACCAATTTCATGCATTCCTGTCCCCTGTGAATTCAAACACCAAATGCAATGTTTAAAAAATTTTTTTTAGTTCGCAGATTCTTAAGTTTCTTCTGATAAGGGGACACAGACTCCTTGGTACCACATGCTGGAGCTTACTGGCAGTACATTTGCTGCTTTTAGCTACCTTCTGTGGCCTTCTCAGAAATAATCCAGTGTCCATGGACCAGATTCTGAAGGAGCTAATCAAAACCCCTGAGAGAGAAGGAATTCTCTAAAGCAACAACAGTGATACCCATATGTGAATTGTTTTCAGATGACGAGAATGAGGCCTAATACACAGCAGGGAAAAAAGAACAGATGAACTTGTGATAAGAGCCGACAGGAGAAACCAAAATAACAATACATTACCTTGCTCTTGTTTGATCCTCTCCCTTTCTGCATAGCCAGCAGCAAGCATGTTAATTCTGTTTAGCCATCTGAAATAATATTAAAAAAGCAGTGATACCGATCCAGTCTCTTAATTTTTGGGTGCATTTCTACAAAAAACAAAGTTAGGAGCATCTGAAGGAGATTCAGGACAATGCTATTTTTCATATTAGACAGCTGTTTTCTTTGATACTCTTACTCAGGGAGTCTCCAAAGATCTATGATTTTGCTGTTGAACAAATTGTTTTCACAGCAAAGATTTTATTTCAAATGGAAAACCATGTATGATGTCAAACATCTGTAAAATAAAGGATTTGGAGATAATCAAAGAGCTATTAAGTCTGCTGCTCACAGATCTGCCATCACACCAATACTCCTGCTGTTCTGATTTCTTAAGAATAAACACTACTTTTCAGAGATTTAAGCAATATTTTAAGGCCTGAATTGGCAATTGAGCAGAGGAACAGAGCAGAAACCAGCAGTAAAAAGAACAGGTTGACTCCCAAACCCACAGTGAGGTTTAATTATGCCATTATGTGTTTTAGAGCTTACCTACAGTGCCAAGTACAAAGAGAAGGAGGCATAAGAGAATTCACTTTTGTGTTCGAGTCAGAGAAGCAGGGGGAGAAAAGACAGTTGCCTCAATGCAATTCACGTCTAAGGCTTTAACCTCAACTTAGACTTGAAAAAGTGCTTCCATAAACTGCACAAATTAAAAAAAAACCCACCAAACTATTGCTATTCTCTTCTAGCAGGGCTGTCACTGCCAAGCATACACACAACTGCCTGTAGCAGTGCACTGCTTCAACCTGCCCTCTTCCCCCATGGGGCTCTCAGTGTATTCATTATCTAAATGCTTACACTAAATCAGGTCCTCCATCAACAAGGCTTTAAACCACCATGGCAATCTCCCCTGGTTGTCCATTCCATGGTAAACCTGGAATTACTTGCTCCAATCATGCCATAGTCAGGATTTGACAGGCCTGGTCTGCCAACCTACTGGCCTGTAATTTTACTGCTAGGGTATACAGAAGGACAACTGAAATTAGGTTTGCATTTTCTTCAGGAATGTGAAACCCCTGTTTCAGAAAACTGTGCCTGATGGGTTTCATTTGCACACTGTATGCACGGAAACAGGATGTAGTATTGTCTCAGCAAGGGATACACCTTTGTAATCACTCCTGCATGCCAGCCTTCAAGGCATTTCAGTGCAGGGTAAGCAGGCATCAGATCATAAAAGACAGCTGCTCTCCTCAAAATTAACTCCTGTCACTGACCTTCCACAAACGGTGACATGTATGATCTGTAAGTCACGTTAATGGTCCATAAATCATTGTACATTGGGAAGAAAGCTAGACAGAATCTCCTGAAGTGATTACAGAATACTTCATGTTAGCATACAATCAAAATTTCTGCCAGAAGAATAGGGAAGCTGAAATTTCAGTTGTAATTGTTAGGAAGTGCCATACACTTATAAAAATAACTGGCACATTGGAACAGAAATCCAACAAATCGTGTCTCAGACAATGATTTCACATCTTCACAGCAGAAAGATGACCCACTAACAAAGCTATCTTTTAGGTTCACATTCCTGATATGTGAAGGCTTTCTTTGGGGAATAAAGCTCAGCTGTCTCGACGGCTCTGCCAGCCCCAGTGAGAGGCACTGAGGCAGGAACCTCACCCAAAGCACTCCAGCCCAGTGGAGTGGTGCCGAGGGACCAGCAAAGGCCACAGACTTGTCCGTGCCCAAAGGGTAAAGCAGCACAAGATGACAAGTGCCTGCTCTGTCAAATGGCATGGCAGACAGTGGAGGTGGCCCTTTGCTTGCCTCTCACCTATTTTGGATTTCACGTTCCTAATTCAGCTCATGGCTTACACACCCCCCAGCGCAGCCAGGAGGGAACAGCCACCTACGGACCCCCTTTGGATAGGGCTGCTGACCGGACAGTATTTGATGATACACCTATAAAGGTTCTCCTGTTGGAAAACTTCATTCTGTCCTAAATATGATACGATTGCATTTTGTGTTAAGTGTGCGTGAGAGTGAGGTAACCAATTAAATTGACAAACACTTAATTGACAGTCAATTGATACTGCTTACAGCTATGGTAGCTGATTCTTTCCAGAAAAATGTTATTTCCTGAAAAGTATAATCTAATGAGAACCCAGGAAATGTATACCAGTCTGAGAGAGAGCCAGCAGACTGACTTCACATTTAATGATTTTCTGCAGGTCATGATGTGTGTCATGGTCTGGAATATCACCTGCAATGCCTGGGGGGTGAATGAGAAGGTACTGATGTGGTTGTAAACTGTTAACAACCATGGCTTTTGAACGATTTGCTAGTTTAGAAAGTAAAAGAATGGTATTGACTTCTGCATATTTTCTGATATGTGGCTGCTAAAGCTTCTTCAGATATGGTTAGAATGGGTATGGTTAGAGAATTAATATTATTTCAGTAAAGCGTGGCTAGAGTTATGGTCATTGAAGTTAGAATCGTATGAGAAGTCCAATGCACTGGGCTTGTATCATGGGGAAACATAAAGATCTTCTGCAGAATGGAAGAGGAGTAAAACATGCCCGCTTTACAACGCATTGGGGACAGAAGTTCCAAGCATACAGTTATACAAATGTTCCTTACTATGAGTATTAAAAGATACAAAGCCCTAGGACATGCTAAGATTTAAATCTTTCTTCCCTGCGGTGTGCTGTGTCCTGGTAGCCACTGTAACTTTTAGAGGGCAAGAGGACAAGAAAATATTCCTTCCTTACTGCAAATGAAGCTTTAATCTTCTTGTGAGAATTACAAAATCTATTTGTTAGGTACGACAATAAATACAGTAGCACTGGTAGTTGCAGCAGTCATCTAGCTTTTCTTTTTTTTTTTTTCTTTTTAAGGATAGCACATACATTTCTTGTCAGTATTTAATTAAAACGATTTTATGACACATAGAAGAGGATTAAAAAACCCCAATCTTTCTGTAGACCTGTTACTTCTGTAAAGAAGAATGCACAGTACTAGCACTCTCACAGAATACTAGGAAACAGTCTTCTATCTTATCTCATGCTCCAGGTAGATGCAATGCTTTTAGTCAAAGCAGGGTGTCAAATTGTCCTTAATCATAAAGCTCGAAGAAATAGGACAAATTTGCTATATGGGAATATGGATACCTTACAGTGTCTGTAAGTACCCAACTGCAGTTTAACCGGAATGAAGAGGCCTGTAGATGATGTGGGAGAATTTTTAGAGGCCTTCTTCACTGAAATCTTCCAGACACATTCTCATGTGCTAATACTACAAGCTGACTTGGCATCTTTCCTCTTGACCATAGAGCTACAGTAAGGAAGAAAACTCTCATAAATGTCAGTATTCGATGTCACAAAAAGAGAAAGAGGACAGCTCAGTTACAGCAGGTCAAGGAAGTTCTCAGACAAATATTCCACATGAAGTTACTGTCTGTATTTCCCTGCCTAGAAGATATAATTTTGGCAGCCATATATGTCATCACTTAAAAAATGGACAGTTTGGGAAAAAAAGGAAGAATAAGAGTATTGTAAGTGTTTAAGCCAGCCAACCCTGAAAAGGATGCGTTTGCCTCTGAGCTGGTGATCAGGATTTTTGAGTAAAGAACAAATAGTTAGTCCATAAAGCAGCTGGCACAGTTACCACGGAAAATCAAAATAAAGTTTCATATAGTATCATCAAGTAGAAACATATGGACTGCCTTCTACATCAGAGTATTTTCTTGGAATGGGAATAACAATGAATTTCCAAGCAAGATGTCTCTATGACTATACACTTACACTAGCAAAACAGTACTTTGCATCAATAAAGGATATTCTGTCCTTCTCACCCAGACTAAGCATGTTATATGGGTAGAAAGAACACTTTTGCTGGTGCAACCATGCAGATGAAAGGAACTTCAGATGCCACAACAGTAAAGTTCAGTGATCATAGTTCTCCAGACTCCTTCCCAGCATAATGGTGTGGCACAGTCATAAAAGTAGTAAGAAAATTTGAACAGTGACAGAGTTACCTAAGATTAAAATACCCATTTTACGTGAGTAGATACACACAAACAAAAACTTCATATCCTGCATACGCTTTTTTTAAAAAAACCCAACTAAATCATTTTATACAAGGGATGAAGGAATTGAACCATTTTGAACTTTCAGTTAGACTATGTATTAGCAGTTTTCTACTTTTCGTTTCTTCTGCTTCAAGTATAAACAGAACTGAAATGACTGCATGATACATAATTAAAATGTATGTCAGAAACCTGACAAAAAAAAGAACAGAAATTGATCAAAACAGTCTTAATTTAACTTAATAACTTGATTCTGTGTTTGACTTCAGCTAGGCTACAGAATGCTTTTAGACAGGAAGTATTTTATTTACTCTGCATTTGAAATATTATTTTTCAGTAACCCACTTTTTTTTCCAATATATTGAGTTAATTCAGTGTTTCTGAAAGTGAACTACTTTTTCTAATACATTAAACAAAGAGAAAAAATAAAATTATTTGGTGAGACTCTGATGGCAACTCAGAGGTAAGAATTTCAAGTAATTCCATAGACCTTGACAGAGTTGCTTTAAATTTACATGTGTATAACTCAGATCAAAATTTGGTCAAGCTCATTCTAAATGAATTAATAAGCATGTATTTCAAAATATGATAAAAAGACTATTTGTGCTGGGACATTAAAAATCTTTTAGTTCTTGGGTTTTAGACTGTGCAATATATTTTTAAAGAATTGATGCGTATTTGCTGCTGCTTTTGATTACTGAACAGTTATATAAATTTTTATCCTTAGAAACAAGGTGCCTTGTCATACTGACTGAGGACCTGCTGACAGAAATTATTTATCTACTGCTGTAGTTCAGGATATGTCGAATAGACCATGCCATTATTCTGTTTGCTGTGCAGCAAACTGCATTTTGAGTGACTGGCTTGACAGAATTATCAAGGAAAGGCAAGCCTAAAATTTTACAAACAAATAAAAAGGTTTTAAGTTTTCTAACTGAGGAGAGACTTTTGAAGTGAGCCTTAGTCATGCATGAACTTTTGAAAAAATGTTGACAGCTATTTCTAAATGAAAACAAGCATAGTATAGTATCGGCATACTTTTCCAGTCAAATATTCTCAGTAAAGAACTGGCAGTACCCTGAAGGTGCTCTGCCAGGTAGCTGAATCTAGTACACACAGGAGAGATGAAACCATGATTATAGCACCTACTAACAGTTTTATGGATTGAGTTTTATCTCCTTTTTCCTCTGTTTTAAAAGCAATTTTGCTCAGTGAGGATGTCCACAGACATTATCTAAGATAGAACAATTCTCAGGTTGCAATAATAGATTTTTGTTTGTGTCCTCTGTCATATGATGAAAATGGTGTATTATTTTGAACTGAATTAATTTCAGTTTATGTTGTGAAAAGAAATGAAATAAAACCCCAAATACTTGAATAAAAGCCATATTTTTAATTTACCATTCAAATGAATTAAGAGGAACTGTGTTTATTTTGTGCTGAAGTCTCAATCATTTTTCTGAAAAAACTGCACAAGTGGCCTAAAATAGAGACAGTAAAACTCAATACCCAAAGAACTAAGACTTAAGTCCTTGTTCTTTTTGAGTTGCTGAAATTTCCCCACTAAATTCAATACAACCAAAATTTCACTTCACCATGTAGGTTAAATTCATGGCAGTAGAGAGAATCTGTAATATTCATTCCTTGTAATCTCTACCTCCTTTTTCAAGACTGGCAGAAGAAAAATCAGTGACTGCTTTAAATCTTTCTCCAACTTCTCATTCCCTCCAGGGCCAGAAGTAGAAGCATCCCCAGAGCAAGCATCACATGTCTTTGGGAGTATGTTAGGAAGCAGAGTTGGAGAATCTGCACAGCCAAAAGCAGAAACCTGGAATTCTGAAATTGTGTTTGCATGTTGTTTCACATACTGTATTTATTTCTTTTTAGAAAGAGGGACTCTTGTTTCTAAAAATCTTCAAACCTTTCTTTCAAAAAAAAGTAATTTTTGCATGAATTGAAAATTTAGCATATGCAGCCACTCAGAAACAATGCTACCCTGCACTTATTTTTCTCAGCTATTAAACTTAACTTTTTAGATTAATACACAATTGATTATCACGGTGTTATTACTAGCTCCAAGGAGTGTCACATTTAAGGAACGGTTCCTTGAACTTTGCTAGATTTCCTTACCTGTTCATATCATCTAGATGTTCAGCAGCAAAATAAAAACTTTTGATCTTAGGATGGCAGGCTTTGAATGCACTGTAGAGGAAAAACATAATTATAAAAATGTAATGGCACAACTCTTTTTTTCTTAATGTAGGATAGTGTGGTCACCAATGAGATGAGTTCAGACTTCGTGAGTTGTTGGATGCCCCCAAACAGTATATAGACATACAACTTTTAGGATTGTGCCAGATTTCACCAAGTAAAGTGCTCTTCAACTACCCCTTTCTAAATAATGCTTGATTCATATGTGCATAAATACTGTTCGACAATCACCTGCAGTGTACTATATTTGGATAAAGTTAACCAGTTAAGGATATAATTTTATGTATTAGATAATTTTGCTGATATACCTATAGGTGTCAATTTTTTCTGAACAGAAAATTGACTGAACAATTTATTCGATACAACAGAAAAACTCTCAGTCCTGCTGATTTCTCACATCCCAATGACCTTGACATTACCTAGCTCTAATGACTGCGTTTCAAACAGAAAAATGTGATGTGCTGATTGACTTCTGAAAAGCTGTTATAAATCAACACCACGTTCTTGAGGTCATTCTAAGCAATGGGCAATTACATCTCATCTTTTCTTTCCACCAAAGTAATCAACATGACTGGGCCGAGAGAATTACTGCATTTCATACATAATATGAAATAAATTACTAGAAAGAATTTTTTAACTATGTTGGATAAAGATTTATGGTGAAGTACTTGAAGATCCAGAAAATGTATCTGAAAGTAATTAATAACTTACAGTACAGAAGAATAATTTTTGAGAATAGCTTGAAGTTCTCTCTTAAAATAAGAACAAAAAAAAGCGTAACAGTCCCAAAGAAAATAAGGAAAACTGCAAACATGATACATGAAGAATATCATCACCATCTTTCTGAGTCACAATGGATTTTATATATATATAAAAAGATATATATAATGTAATAAAATAATTCTCACTCTCTCTAATCATTGTGTCTCAGAAAAATGGTAATGATGTTCTTCATGTGTATCATGCTTGCAATTTTTGATATATATGTCTGTGTGTATACATATATGTAAATAGGTTTTAAGAAACCAGGGATATGAAATTGATATCCAGCAAAGTTACTGCTAGTGAAGGTAACGTAAAATTGAGACAAAAAGACTTCCTCTAACGCATTAGAGCATGACACAATGTTATGCAAGTGAAAGCAGATGTACAGTGACATCTGCTCAGTTTAGAAAGACATCATCAAGTTACTGAGACCCAACTTGCCTTCTTAAAATTGTTACAGCATCTGTCGTCTGGATTCTTAAGAGTTTTTATTCTTTATCTGCCACCCAAGCAAGGAATTTTAATAGCCACATTTTATGTTCTACTATCCAGTAGATACCAAATCAAGTAAAAAAAACAATTTAAGCAGGGTGCAATTCTGAGAAATGAGCTGACTTTATGCTGCTGCCCCAACAAAAAAGAAAAAATGAAGCACTTCAGCAATGTAGCCCAAGGACACAGGACAAAAAGCCCAAGCTGATGTATCTTTTTTTTTTTTTAAATGCAATTTTCATTTTCTGCCCTTTGAGACCATCATGAAGAGCAGAGTTCATCCTGAAGAGATATGTAGACCAACTGATACAAGGTCAGTGTCTTCTTTAGAACTGTATGCACTACAAATCATACCATTTTACTTTTGCAATTGCTTTTCTGTACAAATTTCAGTGATTCCACAGTCTTGATAAACTTAAAAGAACAGTAAAAACCATTACAAGGCAAGGCAGAAAGTTTTCAACAATGACTCTGAAAATACCTCTATGGGAGTATGCACCTGTCACAATGCTACATATGCTTGAATTTGCATCTAAATAAGAAATGGATTTGTGCAATGGCACAGTTCTGGACAGCAGCACACACAGCTAGGTGAGAATAAAAGTCATTTGAGACCTTTAGGTCATACCTCAAAAATACAGGAATCACTGTCATTCTCTTTTTTTACTCTCCCTCAGGACTGATACACTGTGTCAGCAAGCTGAGATGATGCTAACTATTTGGAGTTACGTTAAAGATTAAGATGCCCGGCCACGAACTTGGGGACTTTTTTATTCGGCTGGTCTCTTTATTATGCTTAAAGATCTTTATTGAGCTTAAAGGTATCACACGCACACACTCCAACCCCCAACAAACAAACAAAAATACCCCCCAAAACAGAAAGGAAACAAAAGAAGAAAGGAAAACTAGGAAAATAAAGGGACAGAAGCAGCCAAGCAGCCTTCTTGCTCAATTAATTTCACTCCAGTCAAGCACTGTGATTCATGATAAAGTAAAAAAAAACTTCGTCGGGAAAGATGGCACACGGAAACCACACTGAATTTGCCTGTTCTGTATGAGCTTATTCTGTGATACAACCAAACGATCATTGTAACAAAGTCCATTATGTCACTGTTTTAAGGCAAAACCTTGTCCTTTGTTCCACTTTTTCTATTGTATCATTGCATTATTTTTGAGCATACTTACTATTTCTTGCGGCATTCACTGGCTCTGTCAATTTTAAATTCAGGTAGACTGATGAATCCTTCCGCTTTTTCATCCTGCAAAGATAGTTCTAGCTATTACTGTTGTTAAGGTGTCAGAAAAAAACCCCACCACGCTGCAAACTGAAAGATATTTTCCCTTGCCTGCTTCTTACACAAGCAATACTAATGTATGCTCTGCTCTGGCAAACCACAGAAGTCACTGGGACTTTTGCCAAAGTAGTAAGACAGATCCCTTGGTGGAAAATACAATTTTAAATACCCAGTTTTCTCAAACAATTTCACAGCTGAACCAGCATTTGAAAATACACAAAATGACCAAATGTATTCAGGCAATTAGCTATTGTAATTAGTTAATTTTGGGGGAAGATGGACTCATTAGTAAGGAGAAATGCAGCCTACTGTAAGAAATAGGGAAAAAAACAATTTCAATGTGTGCTGTTTACCATCTTTATATATCGCAGCTAAAAGGCATATCTCCTCAGCTACTTTCATCTCTCCCCAACACTCAAGAGAGAAGACATCTGACCTTCCTCCCCTCTCCTCTAAAGACTCGCACATAGTTTATTTTATCAGATATTCAATCTCCCTTGACTTTTCACAATTTGAAAGCATTATTTATTTTAAGCCACTAATACATCAATAACACAGACTCTCTTATTTAACTGCTCATAACTTTGCATGAGAAATTAATACAGGATCATGAAAGTGAAGCTGCAGAAAACACAGATGTGTGTTAAGGAATTCCACGGAATTACATCTTTTTCTCAGAATCTCCATGGTTATTTATGCTACATATGCAGTCAATATGACTATATGCTTTCTTAAAAATAAATATAAAACCAGAACTAAAGTTGTTCTGTGGAAGGTACAAGATTGTAACAGGTTCTGCATTAGCAGCTATTTTAAAATTGAAAGGACACTGTTTAGAATAGTCTTGCTATTTCTTTTTTGCATGGTTGCCTAAGGAAACAAAATTTTGGCAAGAGCACTGTTTGCTTGTCTGTCCATCTGCCACTGAGGCTCCCCCCGCCAGCTTTTGAATCTATTGGTGATTGCAGACACTTTGGTGAGGGAGCTGAGGTCTCAAAAATAACTGAGTCTCAGCAAGTCTCAGGGAAACCTGGGACAGAGGGAGACAGAGGTGCTCAGACCACTGCCCTCTCCACAGGAAAGTAAGGCACAACTCAGTGGTTTCACGTGCTCCTTGGCCACGGCTTGTGACCAGTCATCATACTTGTAGATATGAATTACCGCCCTGATGAAGACCTCGTAGTAGACCTTGAGGAGGGAGGATAGAGAGGAGGGCTACTGATCTGAAGCTGGGATCAAGGCACAAATGGGATGAGTCTGTGGGAAAACAGGCTTCGGTAACTGTTCATGGAACAACTTGCTTTCTGTCTACTCAGGGAAAAGTTGGGGATCACAGTATTTTAAAAAGGTTATGTAGAAATGCTTGCAGTGATTAAAAGAACAAGTCCAGGACTAAGTGCATCCACATGTTGGCAAAGACTTTATCTCAGGATATTTACTAATGAGATTAATGGGGTTTAAAATGAAGGTTGCCTAACTCACTGGCAAAAAGCTTTTTGCCAAAGCTGATATAAATAATCGTGTACTAATGCAGAATATGTTACACAATCAAAGCTGTACACAGTTCAGTTGGGCTGCTCCGGTGCTCTTAAGTTCAGCATATATGAGCACCGAAATCATATCAAAAGCTAGAAAGAAGGAATGACAGGAGAACACAACTGAGAAAACAAAAGTGTCTTCCTTAATTGCCAGAAGTTTTGGTGATTTCACTAGCACAGATAAACAAGGAACACCAGGCAGCACATCATTAAAGTTTACACTCCCATGACTAAGCTTGAATGACAGGATTAAATAACTACCTTTTCCCTTTCAAGGGTTTGAGGATAGATTTATTCTAAACTGGTGAGAGCAGTACAGAGGAAAGTGTGTTATTTCTCCTCGTAGTAAAAGGTGAATTTGAAGGACCAAATAACTCTGGACCTTAATGGTAATTTAGTCAGGCAGTTAATATTAATTTCAGTATGATTATTTGGGTGAATAAAGTTATTCACATATATAAGCACTCAAAGCACTGTTTTCCCACTAAATTATGACAACAGCACTACACAGGGTATTTGTCGAGACAATGAGCACAGATGCTTACCTCTTCATTGATATACCAATATAGAGATGTATCCTTCAGGACAAACCAGTATTTTTTCCATTTCTGAGAGAAATAACTCTTGGCATCTTTCTTTTTCCAAAGCCAGCCTTCACAGTCCCCTCGACCAAGATCTTTACATGAGATCCGTCTTTTGCTTTTACCAGGAATAGGAGCTGAAAATGACAACGAGTTGATGTGAAAGCGTTTGACTTGTCCACTAAATCAACTAGACAGCTAGCCAGAAATCAATATGTTTGCTTAAGAAAACCAATTAAAAATTTCAACCTCAATTTGCCATGAATAAATTATTACAAACATTCTATTTCGACCGCAAAGTCTATGAAAGGCATCATAAGGTGAAAACCAAAACAAACCAAAACAAACCATGTTCAGCACCTCACAGAGCTCATATTCTATGGATAAGACAAAAAAAAAAAAAAAAGAGCAACACAGAAAGAGAAGACATTAGAGAAAAGAAAGGCAAGATATTTAAAAATAAGAAAAAGGGTTATTTGTAATTTTCAACAAATTAATATTTCACATCAGATTAAAGCACACAGCATATAAATTCATTTACTTTCACACTTGGCTGCCAAATACAACTATGTAAGTACTTCACGGGTATTCAAAAACCTTTCTTTGCAACTCCTTTTGCAACTAAACAGTTCCTAAGGCCTTTGTACTTCTAAATCAAAGGAGGAAAATTTACTATGATATAAATTGCCTGACAGCTTAGGTAATGAGCAAGGGCTGCAGTAAGGCATTACATGCACCCAGCTGGAAAAAACAGCCCTGGCCCCAAAGAGGCTAGAGTCTAAGTATTAAAAAAAAAGACAACAGCAGATATATGCAGGTAGAGGAGCATTAGGAAACTATGAGAGATCAGTAACGGACTAACACCTTCTCAACATGATTACATTGAACTAAACATTGGATCGGAGCTAACAAGTTCTAGTTCTTCAGATACTGCAATACCATAAACATTAATGTTGGCAATTCCCTTCCTACCAATACGTGAAAAGAAATTTAATTTTTACCTTTGTTCTTCTTTTTACTTTTCTGCTGTAGAGAAGACTGCTGAAATGTCTACAAGAAAATCAAAATGGAAGAAGTGAAAATACAGTGTTTATATTCAACCACATCCTTATCATAAAAGAAGTGTAACGTTGCGAACACTGAAGTCATCACCAGGTAACACCAGCCAACAGACTTCTACGCCTAAGAAAAAAGGTAGTTTTAGTTCATCTGTTCATAAGGTGGTAAAGCAAAAGCACACAGTGAAACATGTTAAAGTAGACCACAAATTAGTTTGCCAAAACAACTGACGTTTCTCTCTAAAATGGTCGCTCTTCTCGCATTCTGTTAATAAGGAAGGAATGTCTCCCTTTGGTTAGTATGATAGTGAAGCTACACAGCCTGTGCATTTCTAATACATCGTCTAATTAAGGTCTTCCTGACATAAATATGCAAATATGCAAATTAACACACTGCCTAATGCCGGTGTGATGGCATTTATACGATGGTCTTTAGAACATCAGACAATTTGCTCAGAAACGGGCCTAATATTTTTGAAGACACCAACAAAATTCTGCTAAATCACAACTGGGAAAAAGTCTCCCAAATAAATATTCTGAAATAGAAAACACTTCATTTTTTACCAGGTTTTGCCTGGAAGTATTTCCCTCCAGTTGATCCACTCCCATGAACCAACCCCATTGCCTTGGCAATGAGACAGGATGGAAATTCTTCCTTTACTTAAGATCCTAGCTCATTAAAAATGGCAATACACATTAACACATGTTATGGCCATTTCTGTTAAAAAACTTTGACTCGGGTAATCACCATCATTCTAGTGAATTAAAAAAAATAATTCTGTAATTAATCACTCCAAAATTTAAAGGCACAATTTTAGTTTTGAATTTTAGTTTTCTACAAAGATAGACAAATGCATTAGCGCTGAAAGAAAAGGCCACATTAGTGTGTCTGAGTATTAAAACCTCTGATTTCAGCTTACTATGAACCAATACAAAAATCAAAGCTTTTGTGCGACCTGATAAAAATAAATCTTAGCAAAAGCACTGACAGCCCTGTGAGCCCAAATCCTGTTCCTAGCAGATAAGACAAACCCTCACCCCAGCTTACAAGGCTCCCTTTTCAATTCAGAGAGCTGCTTTTCTTTTCATTTTCTCCTCCCTGCTTCCTGTACACCTGAGCTCACATGCAGGAGACCGAGGCTTAGCTTCCAAGGGATGTCTCGCCTCACAGCTGAGGCATTCTCAAGCAGCAAATACTAACATGTCCATGGGGATAAATTACCAGCTGTAGAACGATAATTAAGTGTAATATAAAAAAATAACTGACTCCGTAGAGGTGCTTATCCCTTGTAGACCGTATCTGAAGAAAGCTACTCAACTGTATTGCCTCCTCAGATGGCCAAAACAGGCCTCCACTGGGAATAAAAAGGAGCCCATTTGTTTTCATTCCCTGGCTCTTGTCCTTTTTCTTCTGCTATTGGTATCAATTCAATTAGCGCCAGCTCTCAGCAAGCCGAGACAGCAACATCATCCCAACTTATGTCACATGAAATATTTCGATCTGCATAGGACTAAGAGAGATCTTCACGGCCCAGGAATGACAGAGTGACTGGGCAGAAGTGTGTAAATAACTCCCCCTTAGACGCGCTCCCTCTTAGATGCTTTGAAAATCCTACCTAATTCAAAGTGGTTGAAAAAACATACACACGCACAAACCCAAAACTTTAGCACTTCTCACTTCACAACCCAGACAATTTCATTCTGCTGCTTGACTTTTCTGCATTAATATTTCCACAGTGCCAAAACAGAAAAGGAAAACCTCCACTTGGTTTTCTTATAAGTGATTGTGAAAGCAGATGAGAACAATACGAAAAGCCTTCTCTTTAAATGTTTTGTCTGTAAACTGAACCCACAAACGTGAGCTCGCACCTCTCAACTTCTGAGTCAGTTTTTGGGAAGAAAGGGTAATGAAGCAGTATCAGTTTTTAATAGGAAGACAACATGTAATTTAGATGTCCAGCCATTTTTCCACACATTATGTCATATTGCAAAATAGAAAGGTTTTATTAAATTCAGTTATTATTCTAAATTAGCTCATTAAATTAAATTATAATTAAGGACAAAATCTACAACTGAGTGAAGTTCCTGGGAACTATTCAGCTGACTTCAGTGATTTTAGCTAACACTTTAGATTATTTTACATAGACTTCAGGCTTCAAGTTGGTTCATCCTTTGCAAAAACAGCACCAGCTATTTTTTTCGTTTTACCCAGAAGATGTACAAGCAGTATGCATTAGGCAGTGCCATTCAGTTTCAAACTCGCATGATACATAATCCGAAAAAAACAAGTGAGGATGAAATCTAAAAATGCTTCTTCTGTTGCTTTTTTGGGGAAATTATCGAATGCAATCTGCAGCCTCTTCCCAGTTATTAGATAACACTTAATGCCATTTTCTCAGTGCTGTTTAGAATCACAGAATGATGAAGGAGGTCGTGTCCTTCCTCCTGCTCAGAGCAAGGCTTGCTTTGAAGCCAACGCTGGATCATGTTCTTCAGGGTCATCTCTAGCCTAGATCCAACTATCTCCAAAGAGGGAGATACAACCCCTACAACCTCTTTAAGCGACCTGTCCTAATGCTGGCCACCATAATGTTTCCCCTTTTACAGCTTAATTCTGTGATGTGGCAAATATGGAAATAATATAAATACTTTTTAATGCCACAAACCCTAAAAATAGGGATTCACACCAAAGCCAGAAATTCAGTTGTACTAAAGCAAGTTTGCTGCAAGATACTGTTTAATCACCCGCCCACGAGGCTGGATTTCAACATATATTCACTGCATTTTGATTCTGATACATCTTGAGCTTTGAGCAACTGCTTTCACATGCATCTTGTCCCAGTTTCCAAGAATTCATCTCTCCTACTAATTCTGAGAGCAAGCATGAAATGAAATAGAAAACAGCATTCTATATTAAAGAAAGTTGTTAGTAACTCAAAATAATAAATAAAATGGAAACAAGACTGTCACTGAAAAGATGAAATAGATGAATACCTTAACCCAAATGGAAGTTGTCACTCCTGAAGAAAATTTGAAACTGTTTAATCAAATTCTGAATTATATGCTTTCCAGTTGCCCAAAATACAATTAGCAAAACTTTCCATTATCCAAAAGCAAGGTGTCACTTGATGTTTAACATATATCAAAACTCCCTTGAATACCCCAAGCCTCAGTTCTTTGAATGCAATGATTTTCTCCTGCAGTATGTGATGTTTGAGTTTGACTTATTTAATAAATAATACACCTAAACTAAGCCCTCTGACAAATGCATGTCTAAATGGAATATCAAAGAAACATTTTAGGTATATATATGTCTGCCTTTGCTACCAGCAGCCTCCAAAGCATATGTATTTCAAGAGGAACAAAACATCATTTATTATAAGGATTTTTGCTATGTTTCTGTTTTGTTTTGTTTATTTTTTTTTAACAAAGGTGCTAGCCTACCTCTAGCCCTACCTTTCTGAGGGCTTAGCTGCACACCCCATCAGCCAATGGACATATCACTGTGCATGGAAGAGCTGTAACAGTTCCTCTCTTCCTGCAACTGTTCATTACCAAACTTGCTGTGTGGGTTATATTTACTTTAACACTCTTCAAAATGATTGACAGAGTTCTGAAAGCCCATCAGAAGACTGCACAGCTGTAAATAGCAATCTGCCCTAGGCTATGCCTTTCCATGCTTTTAGGATTATAGCGCAGTAACACAGCTACATAGTAAAAAACTTCCAGGTGGAGGCTCACACTAACAAAAGAGGTCACCAACGACCTATAACTGTATTTGTTCTTTTAGCAAGAAAATAATCACATACAGATGGTATAATCAACAATATCTGCATGCACGCAATCACGCATCAGCATCTTCGTATGTACAACACAGAATTTTCAAGAAATGAGACTATCAAGTTTTTCTCTAATCCTCAGAGTTATCCACATTTCTGTCTGTTTTCAGCTCTTGGGATAAAGTATTCATTCTTGGTTAGTACCACGCCTTCTGTATATTTGCTCAGAAAGGAAACAAGATTGAAAGTTAGTCACTAGCATTCAGAAGTGTGAAAATGGGAGTATTTATTATTAACTACTTAGTAGTAATTTGATAGCTCTCTATTTGGAAAAATGTATTTAAATAACAGTGTTAAATAATTTAAGTTTCAGTTAATTTATTTCATGCCAAATAGGAAAATAAACTGATCTTCCAATACCAATATTAAATTGGAGTGAAACTGCTATCAGGAGGGATGACTATTTGATAAAACTCAGGTTATGATTAAAGTTAGAAAATTTCTATTCCAGTTGATACCTCAAATAAAAGTAGAAGACAAGTAGACTGGTTATCAAAACTATTGATTTGGGAGGACTGGTTATTTTGCCAGACTTCAAAAGTCTGAGGAGGAAGTCTAGAGATTTGGGGTCAAACTATTCCTATATAAGAGCTTCTCTAAGTTCTAATATAAATTCCATGTGTGACCAACAGAACATAACACCCATGTCCAAAAAATAGATATATTCTAATAGTTACAAGAACCCCTTCGTGGTTACAGAATTTGTAGGTCTACCAAAAAAAGACCATAACTGAAGCTTCTCCGAAGATCTGGATTGGCCATAGCAGTTAGTACTAAATTTGACAGCTCCTAAAATCTTCTTTCAAGTCCTTATTTCTTTCTTCACATTTCTTCAGAGATGTTCCACTTGCTCATTTTCGGAAAGCTGAAGAGAGAACCAGGTCATGGAAATAATAATCTCCAATCCTTTTACCTGAATTTGAGCTCAGTCTGACTGGAAGGAAAATGGCAGGTGTCTTTATAGTTTTTTTGAGAGCTCAAGTCAAATCCAATTTTTCTCAAGCTGCAAGTTTAGACACTAAGGAACTATTTACAGTCAGATAGTTCCCCTCTGTCACTGTAAGGTAACTTTCTATAGTTTCAGCAGAGTAGCTCATAACATTTCTGATTACTGGAACTTTCTGCTGCAGATGGAAAAGCCAATATATGGAAA